TGCAACGCATTTTTTTTTTTTTTTTTTTTTTATGGCTGGAAGGGGAAAGCATTTACAACTGTTCTCCTACTGAATTGTGTAATGTACCCACTTTTGGACAGGGTCCTCTTCAACAGGTGGGGATTTAATGCTGGGTCTGAAAGCATTACTGGAAGAACTCCAACTTGATACCAACTGCTAGCAGGAACTCACAGGGAAGACTGAAATCCTCAAAAGATGATACTTCCTCTCCTACTTCACTGTCACTGTCCTCAGATAGTCACCTAGAAACTTCTAGGTTCCTCCTTTGCCTGTCCCCTCAGTGTTCTGTGTCCTCAGGGACTTCCCATGGTCTCTGTTTCTCACAGAGGTCTTCATGTCCTTCACTCCCACCCCTCCCAACCCCAGGCGGTCTCTTCCTTCTTCATCCATAAGTCCAATTCCTATTTCCATGCTAGATCTTCAGTTTAGATTTCTCTCATGCTCCAGGTCATATTTCGCAATCACCGCTGGATACCTCCACTTGGACATCCCATTGATACTTCAGAATCAATTAGTTTAAAACTGAGCTCATTATCTACACTCTTCTCCATCATCTCCCTCTTTTCCCATCCAAATTTGCTTCCCACGCTGTGTCTGTAATCTGTTCTCCACACTACAGCCAGAGGGATCTCTCTAAAATGCAAATCTGATAATGTCACTCTCCTATTTAAAATCCTTCAAAGCTACTCTGGGTCTTGAAGATAAAGCCCAAGTTCCTCAACAAGAGTTATAAAGCCCTTTGTGATCAGACACCCTGCTCTCCCTAATCTCTCCAGCCTTCTTTTCATTATTTACCTCCTCAAACCTTCTCTCCCATCTCCTATGGCATACCCTTTAGGTTCTGACCATATCTTGCATTTCCTGGCATGTGTTCCATTCTCTTGGCCTCTGGGCCTTTGCCCATGCTGCTGTACCTCCCTGAGCTCTAGCCTCTACCAACCATGGCCCTTTCCCTTGGCTAATGTCTGCTTATACTGTAGAGGTCTCAATTTAGATATCCCTTCTTCTGGAAGACCCCTTTGCTTTATTTCCCATGTTTTCCTAAATGCCTCTCTCAGGTGCTCCATCACACTCTTTACTTGCCCATGTGTTTGAAAGTTTAATTATTGGTCTTTTCCACTAGACTATAAGTTCCCTAAGAGCAGGGTCCATATTTAGTTTGCTCAATATGGTATTCCCAATGCCTAGCACCTGAATGAATAGAGGCTGCAAAGATGTAAAAAGTAATATCTCACAGAAGTTTGGAGACCCCCTTCCAAAGGTAAAAACACAGATATGTATGTGCATGTATGTATTATAGATCAAATTTCCCGTTGGTGTTTTTGGGTGCTACTTGCTGCTATCATGGGTGATACCAACACCAGTAAGCAGACACTTGTGTCTGTAGAAGAAGGGAAAGCTGCTAATGTCCAGGGAACTCTGGGGATGCTTTTTCTTTGACCTTGGGCCTTATTGCTCTCCTGTCCGGTGGTGATCATATCCACCCCACGATGGGGCTGAGAAAGTGCTTACCTTTGTAGCATAAGGTGAGGAATTTGTCCTTCATCTTCAGTGAGGAAGCAAAATCCTTTGAACATTACCATTTAGTCCTTAGTGTAAATAATTTCATATGATTTTTCCCCGTCAGTGCAAGTTTTGACAAGAGGAAGGAAATGGCAGGAAACACTGGGGAGGCAGAGGGCCCTTGGACTATTCGAACTTGTTCAGATGGCACTGGTGCCTAAACTGAGAACTCTCAGGAATGATCTAACATAGGCCTCAAGTCCACGGGGTGGATCTGCACTGGAGATTCTGTGGTGTTCAAACATCCTCTTGTATTTGTGGGAGACAAGTCCGACATTTCCCAAGGGATTAGGTGTTGATGTTTGATATAGAATAAAGTGCCATGCATTTGAGCTTCTCTAGGGGCATTGTTTGTCCTAGTCATCTTTTTGGATCCATGGCAAAATATATACAAAGGGAGGGAGGCCCAGAGCAGAGGTGAATTTGTGGCGAAATGACAGCTCTCAAGATCCAGGAACCCTCACTTACTGAGCCCTAGCCACGTGTTTGCATGGTTGATGGAAAATTTGCAGAAGTAAGGCATTTTAATGACAATAAGACCATTGATTAAGATCATTGTCTCCACTCCCCTTTCTGTTGATGTCAGGTACCCCTGGAGTGGCTATGGCCATCTTTGGATCCAGCAAAAGAGAAGTTGACTTGGGGATATATTTGGATTAGAGGGATATGTTTATGTTGTTCGTGATCACTTCTGGATGGAGGTAGGTTGCGGCTGTCCTGAAGTAGCCGTGGCTTTCAGGAATGTTCCTACAGACTTTGGCGCCAATTCATCAGGACAAAACATTAACAATAAATCAAAACTGTATAAGCTTTAGGCCCTACAAAACCCCGATCCACCTTCTCTCTAGGCATAGCTCTCAGGTCATCTAGAGCCTAAGCAAACCTATGAAGACCCCAACTTGGGATTCCAAGCAAGAACACTTACAGAAGACCCTTTGATTCCCCTCCTACCCTCTGGTGTTACATTCACTTCTACATGGTACTACCCTGTCACCACCAATGAGAGAGATCCATTCTGCAAAGCCTTTGGCTTGATCCTACACTATTATTTGAACTACAATTTAGAGCATTTTTACTTATAAGGAAAGAAGAACTGTAGAGTAAAAAATGGGTATGAATGAGATGACGTGGCTCTTGGTCTGTATGAATTTCTAATTTAATCCTTCCTATAAGCACTTACTTGGTTCATTACAAAGAGTTACTACTTCAGCCTGGTAGTATATTTGCTATGGTGGTGATTTTTTTAAAATACATTTTTACTGGAAACAAAAATATTATAATCTAAAAACATTCTTATGTAGAAAACAAAATTCTTCATAATCCAGTCGCTGCTAACGTTTGTTGTAAATTCCTACTTTTTTGCATACTATACGGTATACATATTCTGTTTAACATATTTCAAAGTATTTTTTGACACAATTGGGATTGTATTCATGTTGCAACTTGCTTTTTTCACCTATCAGTGTATCTTGGATATCTTTTTGTGTTCTTTTTAAGGGTTGGAGAGCATTTTTATCTGGTGATATCATTAATTTAGTCACTTCCTAATATTTAGGTTATTTTCAGGCTTTTTGTTTTATTTTTACTATAACAAATGGTGCTGTAATGAGTATCCTTGGTCATTTATCTTTGCACATTTTGAAAGGTTCTTTATTCTGTGTAATACAAATTTTGAATTTTTTTGTAAATTTTGAATAGTAAAATTCCAGGGTCAAAGGATAAATACATTTTAAAATATTAATAGATGTTTCCAAATTGCTCTCTTACTCATTGTACCAATTTATAGGCTCACCAGTAATATAGGAGTGTACATTTCTTAACAGCCTCGTCGAATACTTTAATTTTTGGTGATCTGCAAATAGTACCTAAGGGTTCCTTTAATTTGTATTTAATAGGTTGAATGTCTTTTCATATCTTCATTTCTTATTGTATTCTTCCATGACTCGCCTGTTCATTATTATTATTTTCTTATCCACTTATAAGAGTTTAGGATTACTTGAGATATTAGCCTTTTGTCTTAGCGTGACACTTGATTGCAAAGAATATTTGCTATTGCATTTTAAACTCTTAAATTCTGCGATGAAAATCCTTTGCAGGTACCTGGGCGGCTCAGTCGGTTAAGTGACTGCCTTCAGCTCAGGTCATGATCCTGAAGTCCTGCATCGGGCTCCCTGCTCAGCAGGGAGTCTGCTTCTCCCTCTGAGCCTCCCCCCTCTCGCTCACTCTCTCTCATTCTCTCTCTCTCAAATAAATAAAATATTTTTTAAAAAGTCCTTTACAATATAGTCAAAGATGCTGTATGTAAATTAATAAAAACAAATGGAGAGGTTTCATATAACTAAAAAATTAGGTGGATAGTGGTCAAAAATTTATTTGGAAGGTAAGTTTGTACTTTCTTGGGGGAGAAGTTGTCACTTCTTCCTAAACCAAGGCAAGAGACTAAGTCTGAAACAATGGTCCTCTTGCCAGGTTACCAAAAGCTCTGTGATTAGAAATTAGTCTTTGGGGGCGCCTGGGTGGCTCAGTCATTAAGCGTCTGCCTTCGACTCAGGTCATGATCCCAGAGTCCTGGTGTCGAGCCCCGCATCGGGCTCCCTGCTTGGCGGGAGACCTGCTTCTCCCTCTCCCACTCCCCCTGCTTGTGTTCCTGCTCTCGCTCTCTCTCTGTCAAATAAATAAAATCTTAAAAAAAAAAAAGAAATTAGTCTCTGTTCTAGCAGATAGTGTATGACATGAATAGCTTATTTTTATTTTTAATGACTTTACTACCTAATACCAGGCTACACCTAACATTTATATCTGGAAAAGTTAGAAATATTTTAATTTTATAGAAAACTAATTTGAATTTGGCCCCTAGATCGAATTATGTTGGATGTTTTTCATAGAAACTGGTGTATTCTCTTATTTTGCATGTTTGGCTCTGACTTGCTCATAGCTCTGATACATACTGAGTACAATGAATCAGTAATTTTATATGCATAGGTTAGACTTGCTATAAATACTGGGATTGTTAGAAGGTAAAAATGTCTGGATCAGAAGTTGCAGGTTTGCAGCCTGCTAGTTGTATCTGCCCTATAGATAGAGTAAATATTTTGAACTAGTTGCTAATGCTTATAAATGGTTTCATGTAAAACCCGATTTCTAGCTTCTCTTGAAAAATAAAATTTGGGCACTAATGGATTATATACATATTGATAATGAACTAGAACTGCAGGCTGACTAGTCTGTTATAGACAGGGTAAGTGGTCTTCAGTTTGCCCCAGTTCCTGCCCTTCTTTTATGTTTACACCAGGCCCCTTCACTCATTGATGGACATTTTGTAGACGGCTTTTTATTGGTAGGCAAATAAAAATACAAAAAGTCATTTCTCTAAAAAATTCCTTAACTTTTTCATTAATAAATTAATGAAGACATCATAAATTTCTTTGCTTTATTGGATTTTCTGGCACGTTCATCTCCTTAAAAAGGTGGTAAGAAATACGGAAATATAAGAAGCAGTAAACACCCCAGAGATAATAACTTCTTTCCGACTTTTACCAACAAACCACTGTATTGGCTGGTGAAAAAGATGACTGAAACGTTTTATACCTCCTGGAGTTCCACTATCTTACGCTGTAATTTCTTTAGGTCTTTCTGTACTTTATATTTCTCTAAATCCATCTTTGTTTTCTGTATTTGTTGGAGGGAGCTGAGAGAGTCGTGAATTGATTTAAATCCTGGAAGAGATAAGAGAATAGGTACACTTAAACAATGCATTGGAACTTTTTTTAAAAACAAAAGTTGCTAATCAGCAGTTCTGCCATAATTGGTCATCATTTAATTAAAAGCATATTAAATTCCATTAAGACCAGTCTAAAAATGTACAATAATCCATTTCTTACAAGTCATGAAGATGCATTATCAGTAGTGTTTCAGCTTGTGTCTGGCTTCATTGTGAAAATTTAATTCAGTTCCTCTCCTTGCCCAAATATATTGCATAACAAAATAGTTCTATATTTCAAGAAGGAAATTTAAAATACTTTCTTCTCTCTGTGTCATTTTGATAAGAAATTTTGATTTTTTTTTTCATTCTTGTTACCAAATTGAAGATAACACAGGTGAGATTTTAAAACTTCTCAGAAAGTAACCCGTTGAGGGACCTAAGGAGTGGCCACCAGCTCTTCCCCCTGTCTTGTCTCTCTCTTATGCAAGTCTAGTCTCACTCATGACTCGAGCTACCTACCAGGCCTCCCAGACCTCCCAGACCTCGAGCTTCTTAGGGTACAGCCCATTTCTTACTCATTGGGCCTTCCACATAGTCATTTCTCAACATACTTTTGTTAAAGACATAAAGGAGCACACCATTAATTTGGAATTCCCCTTTGCTAGAACTCCAGGTTAGTTAAATGAAGAAACAGAGATTACAAATTCCTTTTTAGCTCATCCTGGGGATATACTAATGGAATGAATATAATTAAACCTCTGGTGCTAAGGTAGAAAACAGGGCCCTAAAACAAGGGTCGCTTAAGTTTGAGATATGATTCCTGGCCAGATAATTCATTATATTGATTTGGCAGTGGGAGATGGGGGGGTGGTAAGGGCGGTGTGGGTCAGATTTCCAGGCAGCAAATTTTACTTATATGCTAGGAACATCTGGCAGAATGAGACCTTAGTATCCTCCCGATACACCTTCAAGGTATTTCTGTACAGGACCAAAGTTCGGGAGAATTTGCATGAATTTTTTGAGAACTAGAAGACAGAAAATGAGATGGATCTTTCTTTAATAAAGGAAACTCTGGTTCCTGGTAATTCCGTCAGGATTGTGACTCAAGGCAGATGGTTGCTCCACAGCACCTATCCCATGTCCTTCCCTTTGACAAATTAGATGAGCCTTTCAAATTAATCCTCTTTGATGTTAGCTCAGCTTGACACTGCTGCCATTAGCTTCCTTAAGAAGAAAAGCAGTCATTATACTGGACTCTGTTAATTCATCTCTCTTTGTCACTTCTAAAGGTCAGGTCTCCAGTCTGACATCTGTCCAGGCTCATTACCTGCAATTCAATGAGGGACATTTGATTTCAGGTCCTAATTTCATGATCTACCACAAGTAAGGTCTTGATCTCAAAGACTTTGCAAGTCTAACAATTCTATGATTCTATGATCTTAGTAAAAAAAAACAAAAAACAAAACAAAAAAAACAACAACTCAGAGCCTTGGCAAGCTTGTGACACTGCCAAGTCCGAATGAAGGAAGAGAACTTGTTTACCTACCTTCCAATGGTACACTGACATTCTATGGGATATTTAGAAAAGTCAGGTTAAATACAAAAGGATATCGATAATGACAGGACTGATCCATGGCCATGAGCTCAAAGTAGATAACACTGAGGGATTGGATAAGCAAGGACTAGTGTTCTTAATCAAAGGTGTCTGCTCACCTGATTGATATTCCCTCTGCATTTTCTCTAATTCACCCCAGATGTGCTTTTCCAGCTGGTTCATCTTTTTGGACAGTTTATTTTCTATATGCTTTACTTTGCTTAGTTCTGCTTCCTGTTTCTCTGTGTTAATGAGATTCTCTAATTTGCTTGAAAGCTTCAGTAATTTTTCTTCCATTTTATTTTCAGACTTTTCCTATAAAAGATATCATGTGATAAAACTCTGCAGAAAAGAAAACTTACATGGATTTGTATTAGAGAGTTAGCTTAGAGAATGTTTTTAACAAGTTCACCTTTCCATGTTAAACATGAAATATCTCACCAAGTTCCCTTGTAAAACTGTGTTCACAAGTGTGAGTTCATCCCTTTGTTTGGCCTTGTTTGTAGCTTCTAGAATTCTCCATGTGATGGGAGAAAGAAAAGAAAGGGTTGTGGTCTTGCTGAAATGCCCTAAGGATTTGGAATTATAGTCTAATGTTTAAAGAAGTGTGGCCAAGGAAGGCATTTTAGAAACTGCTTGACCTAGCGTCCTTGGACACGCTCCTGTTAGGTGTCCATATTCCCTCGAGCTTCCTATCTTCACGTGGACAGAGTTCAGCCAGAATAGTGATTCTTGACCCCTGTTGTCTATTCATATCACCTGGACCATCACACCGCCCCCTGAAACTCTGATTTAATGGGTCCACAGTGGAGCTCAGGAATTTATCTAATTTAAAAACTCTCCAAGTGATTCTAATTGCAGTGCGGTGGGGACTCATGGGCAGCCCAAGGTTCATTAGCTGCTCTGCTCTTTCTCGCCCCCCACAGGGAATTTGCAAGCAGTTGCTGGGGGAGACTGACTTAGCCCTTTGGTTCTCCTGTCTTTGGCCCTGCCTGCCTGAGGGAGGTGGACTCCAGCCTCTCTCTTACTTGTGGTGGGAAGCTTCTGCCTGCAGGTGACCCTGTGGTCACCTATTGCTGCCTAGAACTGGTGGATGAGTCTAACTCCAGGAGAACTAGCAGGCCCTCTTGGCTGCACATCAGACCACATAGACTTCAATAGCCTTATCAGTGATAAAGCTGTCATGGTTATCTCCATCTCTTGGACTCCAGTCTCTGTCAGCTGCCCAAAGCCCCTCTACCAGAGTTCCAGAAACATCTTATTTGAATCATCAGCAAGGCTAGCAGTTCCCGGTGACACAGATGGCCCTATGCTGCTGTCCTGTGGGGGCTAGCAGCTGGCTGGCTGAGCTGCCTGGAGTGGAAGGGAACTTGCCATGAACAGATTTCCCCTCCATCCTGGTAGTCTTGCCTCAAAGCTGGGGGTTCTCTACAAGTTTGGATTTGGAAAAGGAGTTTTGAAAACTTTGGTCTACTAATGGATCTTCGGAGAGGTAAACCAACTTGTCTATGGCAGAAGCTTTTCGGCTTTATTGTGTCCAAGCGTCACCCAGGGAGCTTGCCTGGAAGCACACATCCCCAGAGGAGGACCCAGGGGGTCTGATGCCGCTCTGGGTTGGGACCAGGAATCCGTATTTTTTTTAAAAAAAAAACAAACCAACACCTCTCTTTAGGTTATTCTGTCATAGGTAGAGCACACTCAGAGGTACGGGTTCATGGAGTTGGGGAGTAGCACACAGGACCAAGAAGCAGACCCCTTGATTCCTACCTGGGGGCAGGAAAGGTCAGTGAAGTGACTGTGAATGTCACAATGAAACTTTCAAAACCTTGACTTCACTGCTAACATCCAGACAATGACCATGCAGCCATTTACTTCATGAATAACAGAACTCCTTACCAGTTTCTCCTGTAGGAGCTTCAGACATTGATTCATATGGCCAAGGTGGTCTTTTTCATAGGTGATGAACCGGCTTTCTGTCCATTTTTGATGATTCTCAACTTCCTCGTATAGATTATTTGAAAGTGAATTAAATCTGAGGGGAAAAATGTTTCTATTTTAATAGGTAAATTTAAACACAAAACCAAAATTTAATACTGAGAAATGCTGCAGGTTTTTTTTTCAGATGATAAGGCTCAAGATATCTAACAAGTACTTACGGTTTGATGTGGGAAGTGGGGGGTAAGGAGGCACATTCTGGGTCCCTGCCCTGAGCTTGCATTCAACCCAGCTGCTGACAACACCCCTCCTCATACCTTAAAATACACATATACACAGTGACAGACACATAGACACACAGAAACACATGCGTCCTCCATTAAGATTTCCTCTTAGGGCCCGGGGTGCATTGTGTGTGTGGAAGAAACACTGCACTAAGTCACTTGAGACGGGGCTATCCCTCTGTGGTAGGGGTCAGCAAACTGTTTCTATAAAGGGTCAGATAGTAAATATTTAAGGCATTGTGGGCCATATGGTCTCCGTGGCAACCTCTCTGTTCTAGAACGACTCAGTGCTGCCATTGCAGTGGAAGAGCAACCACATACGATACAAATAAGCGTGGCTGATTTATAAGCAAATAAAGAACATGGTTGTGGTCTAATCTAAACGTTATATATGCTGAAATTTAAATGGCATATAATCACATGTCATAAAATACATATTTTTGTTAAGATTAGTAGGAAGTGTGCAAATCATTCTTAGTAGTGGGGAGGTTTGGCTAAGGGTGGTAGTTTGGGGAATCCCTGTTCTACATGGGTCACTTCCCGGCTGGGGAGGATCTGGGCCAGAGAAAAGTCACAGAGAGGGAGTGGGTAAGGGAGCTGGAAGGGAGCCCAAGAGGACTTTGGGAAAGCAGAGTGTTCCTGGGAGACCATCCTTGGTTGTCTTTTCTGTCTCAGGTGAAACTTCAATAAAGCCTCCGTCGCTTCCTCTGGGCCTCTGTGGATTCTTGGAGGGGTGGGGTGCAGGGAGGGCCTGAAGAGGTACTGAGCAAAATCAGTTGTAATAGAGGCTAAGGTGCTGGAAGCGACTGCTGACAGCGAAATGATGCACCACAGGAATATTAAATAATGGAATGAAGGGTTTTTAAAAATGGAAGTGGGTGTTATTACAGAGAGTAGAGGATTGGAATCATATATCATCAATTTGAAAAGTCACTGTAGAGTGGCTGAGGGTGTGAGTTGAAAGGAGAATCCACAGCTGGTGTGACTGAGAACTCCGGGTCTGAGAAGGGGTGGGGTGAGGGTGGCGGCTGGCTAGGGTCTCTGTATGTTTTCTGCACGCCACTTGCTTGTAGGAGGATGTCAATTTCAAATTGCCTTTTAGAATAGGCAGTATATTAGATAGGCAGGCGCAGGGCATGTTGTTTGCTATTGAAAATATTCAGACTACCTTACGAGTGGGTGGCTTGAAATAATCATTGCTGTAATGTTTTCAGGACAAATTATATGCAGATAATTGAGTTTGTGATATTTATCACTGGACGCTGCTTAAGACATGCTGGACATATATTGCATGTGTATACTTCTTTAGCTTCCCTGAGAAAGTGTTCGAGCTAATATTTGGAAAAAACTGGTTATAAGAGGCCATTTTCATTTTTATTTAGACCAGTGGGCATCTAACAATGTACAGAGACATTTTTGGTTGTCACAACTTGGAGATGCTACTGACATGTAGTGGGTAGAGGCCAGAAATACTGCTAAACATCCTACAGTACACAGGACAGCCTCACAGTAAAAACTTATCCAGCCAAAATGCCGATGTGCCCACGTTGAGAAACCAGCACTTAGATGATGAAATCAAGGAATGGGAAAAGTTAATTTTCCAATAGTTATATTAGTTGTAGTATAATAGCTGAATTCTGATCTTCATCTCCGTGAATTATCACGAATTATCACGTTTTTTGATCGGAGAGAGAGATTTTTCACATAGAACGCATACCTTGATTCAGGTGAGCACTTCAACAATGAAGAAGATACCTTTGGCCACTCTTCGTGTTCTTAATCCCGTCACGATTTCCAAACACCTATGCTACTGGCTAACAGCTGAAGGGTCTCAGACAGATATGTTCCCAGCTGATACATGGACAACTTCGTTTTAGCCAACTGTTTCCTATGTCTGGAACACTCTTCCTTAGAACACACTCCTGCCCTCATTTTGTTCAGATTTCTATTCAAGTACCACTTACCACCTTAACATAGGACTTTTTTTAAACCACACTTAAAACAACAAAAGGTTTCATTTTTCCCCATCAGACTCTCCCTATTCCTTTATTTTTCTCCAAAATGCTTATCACCATGTGATATGTTGTCTGCTTCACTAGAACCTAAGCTCCACGAAAGCATTTTTCTTTGTTCATGGTGGTGGACAATGGCTGGAATATAGGAAGTGCTCAAGGAATAGTTGAATAAATGGATAAATGATTCATTCTTTCTCATTCAGTACCTTTTATTAAGGCTGTTCACAAATAACAAATCATATACTTGCCGAGATATTTAGAGATCTGATCTTCAGTTTTCATCTTCCCTTTCCTATCTCTGGTGGAAATACTAATTAATAGTGATGGTTAGGAGAGACAGTAAATCCCCAGATAATCAAGAGGTAGCTTTGCAGTTGGGAATCCAGGCTTCACTGTTCACCTTTACCGTGTATATAAATGAGAGCATTTACTCTCATTACTGATACAGTATTAACATCCCTCTGAACACCAGGGAACCGTTAAATGTGTCCAAGTAATATCTCTAGAAGCACATATCAGTAATTAGAATTCTGAAATTAAAATAAAGTCATAAAGAATGACTTACTACTTATGATCATTTTACTCCAAGGTCTTGCCTGCAGTTGGAGACACACTTTCCTGGTAACCATCAAAAGTCAGACTCTGGGTAGTTTATGAAAATATGAAAGGATTTTTTAAAAAGCATTCTTCTTGAAAGATAAAAAGGATAAGCTATAATAAAGGTTTGCATAAATCTCTTTCTTTCCTTAGATTTTCCCCTAATATAATGGACATGATTTTCCATGAAAGAATTACTTTTCTGTGGATTACAGAATTTACAGTTAAAATCTCAACAGGATGAATTTATCTTGGACAACATTCACATTTTAGTTCCCAGATCCTCTATCCCAATAGTTATGGTAGTATTTCTATCAGATGTAGGTGGAAATAGATAGGAAGATACGTAAGAAGGGAGGGAAGTAGGTAGATGCATGGATGGATAGATAGCTTTTTTTTTTTCCTTTTTCAAAAAACACAAAAGTCAGACTTTTAAATTATGGCCAGAGACCTTACTAGGATAATATGAGATACAGTTTTTACAAAATTTTTATATTGGTGGAATCAAGTTAATATACATACCAAGGGCAATAATAAGGGAGAAAGTTACAAAAGGGTAAAATAAAATTTAGCGGGGATCTATAGACATCCAGATAGCTGTGGTGAATATGAATGGTGAAGGAGACTGTGGGGCTTGCAACAATCATCCTAGTGATCACTGTGGTTATGGTAGACATAGAATGAGGACATAGCCCCATTCTGGGCCTTTATTTATTTTTTTAACTGGTTCACTTATGTCTTAAACTCATTGTCTTGCATTCAATAAGTGATTGAACTTTTCTGGAAGACATGAAAAGTTTAAATTCTTGGACACTCTTAACAATTAACAGGCTCTCAAGAATTCAGAGAGTGGATTTAACAAAGTCAGTCTTTGGATATTGAATCTAAGATTTCAAGTTTCATGTTTAGAGGAAAGAAATTAATTCCAAGAAACATTATTTCCTACTAAATTTGTACCTATATCCTTAAACTAATTTCTTCTTTAGGTCCTGTGATTTCTAATTAGTGACACTAATAAAGAGCAATTCCAACTCCATGCTGATAGGAAGACTTATCATTCCATATTATACTTGAGCTTGAATCCCAGTACCGTCATAGCCTCATAACTTCATAGTTTCAAGCAGATGTGATCTTTCCATTCCCTAAATTTCTGTAGCACAGTTAGTTTACTAATGGTTGGAATTGTGAGATAGATGTGTCATAGATGAGTAAAATAACCTGAGATGTGGAGTCAGACACTTTCTAAGTATGTGACTTTGGGCAAATTATTTAATTTCCATGATTGTGTCTCCCCATCACCAAAACGGGGATAAGAGCTGGATGCACCTGAATATCTTGATCACTTAGTGATTGGTAGATATTTATAAATAACAATTAGTATATTTATTATTTCTTCCTACTGATATATCTCGTTTAACATTATTCACCTGTGTTTAGCTTTTCACTTATTTATGGATTTTCATCCCCAAATACATGTGGCTATGATTTTGTCTTTGAATATTCCAAAACACAACTTACATATTATTGGTTCTCAAAATATTCATTCATTCATTCATTGGCTTCTATTTGTGTCTGAATGTGCTGTGTGCGGGAGAATACAGAGGTGGATGAGACATATCCTTGACTTGAATAGTTTGTAATTTAATACTGTGGTAGCATTTTCAAAGCTGTGTGGGGAGATTTGAGTCTATGCATTTGCTTTGTTGATCGAATAATTTTTCTTTTCTTATAAATCACTGTCAATTAAACATTGTCAGCGGCAAGAACTATCTAGGGAGTGAATGGGTGGTACTTCCCCTGCCAAACCCTTACTAAAAGATAGCTGTATTTTATGATGACTAAGACTCTCACTCTATAAGCACTAAGTTGTTGACTTAGGTTGGTTTCTCAAATACCTGCCCGGCCTCTCCATCTGCTTTTCCCACCCCATCCCTTGGCAAAATCTCAGGGTTTCTTGGGGGTGGGGGTGGGGAGGGTCAGATGAAAGAGCCAGCGTGTCTCCTTTGTCATTTGTAGTGATCAGTGCCAGAGGCCCAGGAAATCACTAAAAAACCATAGACAGCATTGGGGCTTTTATGTTCTATATAAGATATATGTTTAATTGACCATTAAACTTGAAAATTGTTAAAGTTTCTAAATGGTAAAATTGTTCAATTAAACATATATTTGAATGTCCTTAAAATGCTTTTAATCCCTTTATTCAGAGACAGTTGTTTCTTAAAAAAAAAAGAGCAAATACTCTACCTCATTCATTTTAATTTGAGATATGCTCTGAATGGAAAAGAAAAAAAAGAAAGCCTTACCCACCTTACTTTCTCTTCGAGGAAAATATATTTGCAATACATATCTCAGTCAAAGGGTTAATATCCCTAACTTGAAGGAATCCCTCAAATGATAAGAATGGGCAATTCACAGAAAAGGAAATTCAAATGATGAAGGGAATGCAAATGAAAATAAGAGATGCAATCTTCATCCTTTAATTGGAAAATATTAAAAAAAAATCAAGTATTGGTAAGAATGTAGAGAAAGGTCCCCTCATATATTGCTGGTGGAAGTGTGAATTGCTACATTAAAAAAAAGAAATTTATAAAAATTAATAAATAAGCTCTTTGACCTAAGAATCTTGCCTGTAGAAATAAAAACATCTACATTTAAGAATATTTAAGGATATATACACACAACTTTTTTTTGGTTTGTTTGTGGTAGCTGGAAACTGGAAGAATCTATTCATCAATATGATAAATGGTTGAATTAATTATAGCATATCTGTAAGTTTAAATATTATGCAACTATTAAAGATGTTAGAATAATATTCACTGATCTAGAGAGAGAACTAAGATGTACTGTAAAAAAGCAAATTATTGAGTAATGTGAATAGGATGTATTTTTAAAAGCCATGTTCTATACATATATGATATATATAATATATATAAACATCCTTTTCCTGTTAAATATTTATATTAACAGGGAGGAGAGAAAGGCAGGACACGTCCTTGGTGTTAGCATTGGTTACATGAGGAAGCTGAGATGAAGACCTTTTTTTCCATCTTTGTTTTTATTTTGTTACTTTTTAATTAAAAAAAATGTTGAAGAAGATTTAAATAAAAAAGAATCAATTGTGTATTTCAATGAATTATTAGAGCTCATAGGTATTTGCCTATGGAAATTTTTGGTTTATAAATTCAGCATTACCTACTGTAATACTCATGAAATTTTAAGACTTTGTTATTTCGAGTGAGAAAAAGATTCAAGTTTATATCATTACAAAAATGTCCAGATTCATTTTTAACTATCTAGATGACTTATTTGCAAGCCAATTTTTTATAGGACTGAAGATGGAAAAAGCACGCCACACCATCAGTAAGGCAGTTAACCCTAGTTCTCAAACCTTTCCTTTTTCTTGATTTGCTGTTTGTTAATACACTTCATTCCTTTAAACCAGTATTCCATTCCAGATTTTAAATCCCCTTTCTCTCCAAGTAAAATCAGTTCTTACAGTGTACTTCTAGAAACAGTTTACTTCTCTCCTCCTTTGGACACTTGATTAGATTTTATTTAATTCTAAGCTAAAGGGATTAGATCAAGCACCACACAGACATTTACTGAGCATCTTCAGTGTGCCGGAATTTAAGCACCTAGACATGCTTTTTTAGAGTGGGTATTTTCTCTTTACTCAAGACATTTACTTCTTTCAGTTTTAGGGGTGACTACAGTTTTTCATCAATTTCTAGGACACACCTATTTCCCAATTTAACATCTCTGAAATCGAGAGTTGTCTTGAAAATGATGGTATGCTATGGTTTAATTGTTAGCATCATGTTTTATAGGTAAAAAAAATAATGATAATGGTATATCTTATAATCAGTGACACTTAGATTTAATGAAGTGTACTGTGAAGATGGGGAAAAGGGGAGCAAGCAGATTATATTCAGCTTACTGGATTTGACCAAGTCATTAAACCCAGGTGATGTGGAACAGAGAGGAAAAAGAACAAGGTGAAAAGGGGCAGTAAGGTGGTATCGTCCCAGTGACAAGAATTTTCCTCTGCCTGTACCAGGACTCCAGGAAATAGCGGTCACTTAAGAAAGGAGGATTTGGGAATAAGGAGGCCAGTAATTGGAATGTTTGTGGAGTCTTGGCTCCTTTACTGTCTTCTCTATTGCATAGGGGGAAACTCAGTGAAGATGGGACAGAGGCCAGTCTTAAAAAAGGGAGAATGTAAAGGAGCAAGTAGAGAATCTTAGAAGAAATTTGAAAAACAAAGCTTGTAAATCAAAGTTATTTTAAAAATTATTGGATGGTCTTGTGGAATCGATGTACATTCAGGGAAGTGCGTTACATTGAGGCATTTTAATATATAATTGATGATAAGTTAAAATTACTCTATAGAAAAGGTCAGGCTATATATCAGTTCAGTTGCAATATGCAAAGAGAATGACAAAATTAATATTCATATTTCCTTTTGTTAACTTTTTAAATTCCAGTTAGTTAACATACAGTGTAATATTAGTTTCAGGTGTACGACACAAGGAGTCCGCTCTTCCATACAACACCCAGTGCCCCCCTTGATCCCCATCACCTGTTTCACCCACCCCCCCACCTCCCCTCATATTTCATTTCCTTTATTATGAATATTGTATGCGTTGCTTTAGTGTAGAGTATTCTCTCCATCAGTTTGTTGCTTTATGTCTTGGCCAGTTTCACATTCCTGGGATGGGTTTTCATTTAATGCCAGTACTTTCATTAGGCAAAACCTTTTCGAATGTACTTAACAGAATTAAAAAATCTTCCATTCACTTACTTGAACTCCAAAAGGTTCATTTCATGGCGATAATCTCCCTGGACCATCTTTAAATTTGAGATTTGCTCAGAACTGGAAGCCTCAATCTTTCCTAAGAGCTGCATTACCTAATGAAAGTACAAAAGGGAGCTTTTGTGTGTGTGTGAACAAAATCACTAGCACTTACATTAATTATACTTTATTCCTAAACGAGCCAAGAAACAGACTTGAGCCTAGAGCATATTTGCGTTTGAAAATGATTTTTTCTAAAGGAATGATTCAATAGTTACAAAACAATCTTCAAGGAAAGATTTATAGGGAAGTGTTCCATTCTGCTAGCTATAATATTCCTTTTGATAATAGGCTACCTAATGATGTAACAAAAACATAGAATTGATATTAGTTTACCAATTTGTTAATTTTAATTATTTCTTTACTTTTTCCCCAATTAAAATGTAAATCACTATATATCCTCTATCACCATTATAGCCTTAGTGCACATTAAGTGGTCAATGGTAAATATTCACCAAATACTTATTGAATGAATGCTTAAATGCACAATTAATTAGACTCTGAGGAAAATGCATGAGTGGCCTAAAATTAGGCTTCAGGAATTTCCAGGCAGGAGTCCGACTTGAGCACGAGTGAATTCCAAGTGAAATGACTTTAGGGCATATAAAGATAGGAGAAAACAAGTTCCATTTCTGGAAGTTAGGATAAGAGTGCCTTCCACATAGCCAGAAACAGTGAGGAAGTTCCTTTAGGTAAAAGGACTGGATTGGAAAATAAAACAGAATTGCAGCACATAATCATGACTACACTAATAATCACTGTCTAGGGGAATTAAACTATACAATGGGCTTTGGCCAAACAGAATTCAACTCCTGAAACAGACAGTCACATGGAGGAGAGCGGGCAGTTAACAAAATCTAAGTTCCCAAAGAGATGAATAACAGAAGGGTTTGAATAGATAAATGTTGGGTGGGCATCCAGTAGCTCATGAAGGGCTATTTATAGGAGATACGCTTAAAACCGGCTATTTAGAGGAGGTATACTTCAAGGCAGGATTGTTAACCATAAAATAATAGGCAAATATCCCTGGCAAAAGCAAAGGAAAAGAAAGTTGGCAGAACAATATTGTTAGACAAAATGTTATTCGAGGCGAAATATGTTAAATGGGACAAAGGTGGTCATTTTTACAGATGAAGACTAGAATCCCCAGTGAAGAGAGTTTTAAACCTTTATTTACATTATGTATTGAACTAAAAAATAACAGCTGTAGAATTACAAAGATAAACTGAGATGATATAGTAATGATTTTAAATGACTTCTCTTTGACCAATAGAAGTCAAATAAGTGAAAAATAAATAAAAATATGGGGAGACATGAAAAATACAGTTTATTTAGTAGATTTATATACCAAACAATCTAACTTGCAAACTGCAAGAAACACTCATTCTTTCCCAGTGCCCAGTGAGCATTTGCAACAACTAAGCAGACATGTGACTATAAGACCTCAAAGTAGGGGTGCCTGGGTGGCTCAGTGGGTTAAGCATCCGGCTCTTGATTTCAGCTCAGGTCATGATCTCAGGGTCATGAGATCAAGCCCCGAGGGCTCTCTTTCTCCCTCTGCCCCTGCCCCCCCCCAAAAAACAAACAAAAAACTCTATTCCACAAAGCAGGAAAAACACAGATCATGACTTTACACTGCACAAAAACTAGAAATTAATATGAAAAGTATAAAGAAAGAGAAACCTAACCATTTGAGTAAAGAGACCTCTTTTAATTCTGTTGTTTAATTCCAGTGTTTCACATGGAAATGTGTCTGTCAGATCTCCTACTCAGAGGAACATAACTGGCCAAGGACCCTGACTGCTGTGTAAAATGCACAACCATGTGTGGATACCATGCTTCCCATTGGCTGCTCCCAGCCAGTGTCTTAATAGTTTCCCTTTGATGAGTGACTTTGGTTCCAAGAACTGGATCAAACTGTTAGAATGGCTGTTTCGGGCCTTCCTTTTCTGTCTTTTTCACAGGAGTCAGACCTATTTTGTAATCTGATGGCTCTCTCCATCTTTTCTAGGACCCTCCTCATTTTCCTTCAGATTTTTTCCCCCTCAATTAATCTCTTCTTTTTTTTTTTTTAAAGATTTATTTATTTACTTGAGAGAGAGCGTGCACGCGAGGTGGGGGGGCAGAAACAGAGAATCGTCAAGCAGGCTCCCCACTGAGTGCAGAGCCCACTGTTGGGCTCTATCCCATGACCCATGAGATCATGATCTGAGCCAAAACCAAGAGTTGGACACTTAAGTGACTGAGCCACCCAGGCGCCCCCTACCCCAGTTAATCTCTTGCATATCAATTCCTTTATGGAATTTGCTTCTCAAAGGACTAACTCTAGTGTCAAAGAATAACTCAACTCTGCCATTACAATTTACTTAGGAAAGGATAATAACATTATATATCAACAGGACACGGCCACATCTATGATCAGAGGTAAATTTGTGGCATTAAATGTTTCCATAATTATATAAAACAGAATAAAGCTATATAAACAAACCATTCATTTCACAAGGTTAAAAAGAATAACAAACCTGACCAAGGGAAAGCAGAATGAAGAAACTGACAAATTGTGGTAGGTGGAATGGCTCTTTTGATATGTCCATAGTCTAATCCCTGGAACCTGTGAATATGATATGTTAGATGGCCTAAAGGATTTGCAGCTATAATTAGGGTTACAGACCTTGAAAGAGGGAGATTATCCTGTTTTATCCAGTTGGGCCCAATTCAATCACATGAGCCTCTAAAAGCAGAGAATTTTCTCCAGCTAGAGTCAGAGAGATTTGAAGCATGGCATGGACTTAGCCTGTTCTGGAGAAAGTCCACGTGGAAAACATGAGAAAGAAGGCTGGCAGCTGGGAAAACGTCAGTCTCGAACTGACAGCCAGCAAGAACCTCAGTCACATAATTACAAGGAACTGAATTTGGCCAAAAGTTTAAATGAGTCTGGAAGAGGACTCATTCCCAGAGACATCTCAAAGGAACACAGCCCTACTAATGTCATGATTTCTGTCTTGTGAGACCTTAAGTAGGGGATCTACTCTAGCCTTGACCTGAAAAACTATGAGATAATATATTTATGTTGCTATAAACCACTAAGTGTGTGGTAATTTGTTATGACAACAATAGAAAACTAATACACAAGTATTAAATATTAATAAGCAAGAAAAACGTACAGGATTGATACGTAAATCCAAGAGTTGTTTCTTTGAATAGGTAAGAGACAAAGTTTTTCTCAGTCTAAACGTAAAGAAAACCCATAGACACTAAAATTAGGAATAAGAAAAGATAGAGTAGTTATAAATATGATCCAATTAACGTAGTGAAAATATTCACAAAGCTGAAATTATAGATGAAGTGGAAGCCAAATAATTATAGATTTTAATTCACCCCTCTCAATCCAAGACAGAAGAATAGACCAAAAAAATAAGGATACAAAAGCCCTAACCAATAGGTTTCAGTTTGTTGATTTGAGCGATTTTTTAGATATTGACTGAATTTTTGCCCCCAAAATACAGAATATATTCTTTTTAGAACATGTACAAAATTTTACTATCCAGCCACCAAATAAAGCCTTCAAGATATTCCAAAAACTGAAACTAGTATATACAATAAAAATTTCAATTACGATGAGATAAAACTAAAACTGAATATCAGGATAACAAAAAATCCTTAACTCAGGTAAAACAACAACCCCTCTTAAGCTGTCCAGTCAAAGGAAGAATGCAATATACAATTGCAGAATTTCTAGGAAACAATAATGAGAACACAATATCAGCCCTAGGGAATACAGAGAAGTAGACAAAAGCTCAGGGAAAATTCATAGTCAAAGTGCTTATATCAGTAAAACAAAGAAAGACTACAAATATATGTCATTCAGAAAGTTAGAAGATGATCAGCAAAACAAATCACAGGAAAAGGAAAAAGAGAAAGACAAAAGCTTAAATTGCTGAGAATACACGGAAAACAAAATAGAAGCAGAACTTAAAAATACATAAAAAGACTGGCTCATTGGAGAGCAATCAGTATCGTTAAGACACAACTAACTAATCAAAGGGGAAAAAAAGCACAAATAAAATGGCAAGGGGAAAAACATAAAAGCAGAAAGAATTAAAACAATCCTAGAAGTATTTTGCATAATTTTATGGAAATTAATTTCAAAATCTGGATGAAAAAATGTACTTTTTTCCAAGACTCTTGAAGAGATGGAGCCTGTAAACAGACCAATTTCCACAGAAGAAACTGAACAAAGATATCAAAGGTCTTTCCTTCCCACTAAATGAGTAGGCCCATATGGTGTCAGAGGCAAAACTACCAAATCTTTAAAGAATAGGTCATTGCAATGCTCTTTAAACTATTTCAGAGCACAAAAAAGAAGGGAAACTTCCAAATTATTTGTATGAAGTGAGCAAAACATTGATTTTAAAATCTGAAAAAGTTTGCACAAAAAGACTAATCTTGTTTATAAACATTGATGAAAACTTCTCAAATAAAATATCAGCAAACAGTATCCAGCATCACAACTTAAAAAAAAATCATAATCAAGTGCAATTTATTTTTTAAAACAAGAATTGTTTAATAAGAAATATGTTAATACAAATAATTATGCTAGCATAGTTTAAGAGAAAACTCACATGATTATCTCCACAAATGCTGAAAAGGCATTTGCCAAATTCATAATCATTCTTAATTAAAAACAAAAACTCAGTAAAATAGGAATAGTTGGGCACCAAACATGTTTACTAAGGAAACTTACTTCTCTCACCATGAGGAAAACACTGGGGGCATTTCTGTTAACATCAGAAACAAGAGCAGGATGGACCACTAACCCCACACTACTATTTAATATCATACTGGAGTTATTAAAACAGATAGCACACAGAGAGAAACTATGTTTGTGAAAATGGGAAAAGATGAGTAAACTTATTATTGAAAAATCATATGATTGTGTGCCTGGAAAACAACAGCAACAAATTGACAAATTTTTATAATCAAGAGAAGAATTTGCTAAATTAGGAGAATATAAAATTAATATAGCCTTCCTTATATACAACTAACAACTAGTCAG